TTTTTTTTTTGAGGCAGGGTCTCACTCAGGCTGGAGTGCAGTGGCAGCATTGACTTCCCTGGGCTCAGTGTCCCCACTAGCTGGGATTACAGACATATGCCACCATGCCTGGTTAATTTTTATATTTTTTGTAGAGATAGGGTTTTGATAGAGACAGCTATGTTGTCCAGGCTGGTCTTAGGCTCCTGGACTCAAGTGGTCTGCTCGCCTTGGCCTCCCAAAGTGCTTGGGATTATAAGCATGAGCAACTACACCCAGCCCCAGATGCACTTTTAAAAAATATTTTCAATTTGGAGTTGGCTTAATCCACAAATACAGATACAGAGTGCTGATTGTGTATTACTGTATTTTTCCTAGATACATGAATTTACATATACCAACTTGCCATGAATAAAGTAGGACCATGGTGAAAAAGGAGCATTTGATAAGTGTCCTGGAAAGAAGTCTTGGAATTTAAAGAAAAAACTTGTCAATACTTATTTATTTAACATCTGTTGAGTGCTAAGTAGGAGAAAGCCTCACAGAACTTTCACTTTTATTTGGCCTCTACTAGAGAAGACTTGCTACTCACATTATGTTTTCAGTTAAAGCAGTATGTTACTGAGGATAAGGATTATGGTCATTAAAAATTTTTACCAGTGCCTTGTCTGAATATTGAGTAAATGAAGAATGCTTTGCACTGACTTGACATATATCAATTAACTCTTCCACAGATATCTTCACAGTCATCACTTCTTGGAGCTGGTTACCTTGCTTCTGTCAATTCCAGTAACAAGTGCCCACCCTGGTGTGCTGCAAGCCACAAAAGATGTTTTAAAGTTTCTTGCACAGTCACAGAAGGGTCTTCTTTTTTTTATGTCGGAATATGAAGCAACAAATTTATTGATCCGAGCTCTGTGTCACCTTTATGATCAAGATGAGGAGGAAGGTCTCCAATCTGATGGTGTTATTGATGACGCATTTGCCTTGTGGCTACAGGACTCAACACAGACATTGCAATGTATTACAGAACTGTTCAGCCATTTTCAGCGTTGTACAGCCAGTGAAGAAACTGACCATTCAGATCTCTTGGGAACCCTGCACAATCTTTATTTGATTACTTTTAATCCTGTGGGAAGATCAGCTGTTGGCCATGTTTTTAGTCTAGAGAAAAATCTCCAAAGTCTTATTACTCTAATGGAGTACTATTCCAAAGAAGCCTTAGGGTAATTTCCTGCTTAACTCCTTAAATTTCCTATGATGTTAGAAAATCAGATGAACTATTGGTCTACTTTCTTAAAAGAAGGTATTGTTTTGAGAGGGAAAAAGCTATAGTTTTGATATAATACATAACTTGTTAAAGGTTAGAGTGACAGAAATCGCTAAAATGAAAGATGTGGCTATAAAGCAATCAAATGGATTCTTTAGCACCTTTCTTCAGTTAACACATGGTGTTAAAGATTGCAATTGTAGTACCCCTGCTGTTTTATATAGAGGGGAATTCTAAGGCACAGGACTATGTACCTTATGGTATATATTCCTTTTATTTCTCTTATACTCTTGCTGGTTCCTGCCCTTTTTTAAACCATGCTCTGGATTAAAAATTGCTTTGACTGGATGAGTAAATTGAGAATCATAATGGTTTGAAGAGCCTTCTTGGTAGGGCAGAGGGTTTTAGTGTATAACAAGAGACACATGCCTTATTTCTGGTTCATGTCACACAAAGCAAATGGCATCCAGATAACTACCCTCACAATGGGGACTTGGTATATAACTACTTGAGTGACAGATCTTTTGTAGGGTGCTTATGAAAAGGAAACAGCAATGGCTTCCATGCCTAGCTATGTCTTAACAGGTTTATAGTGGAATGCTGAGTGCTGAAAGCAGGTGATCACACTCATTGCTATTTATCCAGATTGGACAATATTTGAAAGGAGACTAATAAAGTATACTTCCTAATCTTTCATTGCTAATGAAGTATACTTGTTAATATTTCATTGTTTTTCTGATCTTTTTTCTTAATAGAATTTTACTTTCCATAGTGACATGTAGTCTTTTTGTATACTTTTAAGTAATGGTTTCAGGTGAATTTGATATGAACTGTAAAATCTGATTTCTTGTCTTCAGACAATTAAATGTTTTGTTGTAAATTTCACTGATATCTTTAAAGCCAAGTAGAAGAAAATATTTTAAAAATTCTTCCTAAAACATGGTTTTTTAATCCAAAACTTAAAAACCTTATTTTGTTTCAGTGATTCCAAATCTAAGAAGTCAGTAGCATATAATTATGCATGCATACTTATTTTGGTGGTGGTTCAGTCTTCCAGTGATGTTCAAATGCTAGAACAACATGCAGCGTCTCTCTTGAAGCTTTGTAAAGCAGATGAAAATAATGCTAAATTGCAAGGTATGGTACTTAATTTATTTTAAGCGTTTGTGATATGTGAAGGAACAAACCTTTGAATATCTGTAATCAGTGCTTCATCATGTTTTGATAATATACCTAGTAATACTGTTTTTAACTTCCTGAATTACCTTTTATGAAGATGGTGTATAAAAACTATATGTTGATAAAATGTTTTAGTATATAAATGAAATAGTTTTTACAAGTATCTTTTCTGGAAAGTCATGAAAATTGGTGGTTTGTTGAAATTTCTAATCAAAAGGGAAGAGGTTTAAAGACAAACTCAAAAGTTTAGTTTTGGGTGTAGTTTTGCTTCTGCATGTTTTGCTATATATGTATTTCTACGTAAAACATAAACTACAGCTTAGAAATCTAGTTGTTAAAATTACAACTTAGAAATCTAATTTGTGCTATCCCCCAAAGTAAAGAATAGTAGATATGAATATTATTTTTTAAAGTATATACATGTATATTGAATGATGTTTATGGCAAACCTCATGTGGGCAGCTTTGGAAAGTTTAAGATAATTATAATTAGGTATCTTATTACAGCTGTACAGAAGTTATTTTCTGTATAGCCAATAATATTATTTAATACACCTTCTGTATTATTAGTGCTTTAGTACTTTTTCTGGGTGTTGGGTATTCTGGTTTTTGTTTTATTATTCTTATATCTTTCAGTTATATATATTCTGTATATAAGAAAGAGTTAATTTTAAAATGCATGGGGAAAATAACTTCTGTACAGCTGTAATTCCTGTGGAGGAGTGTAGTACCAAGGAAAGACCTGGCTACTATTTTCTATTTCCCATATGGCATCTGGAACTGGTGTATCACTTTTTACATTCAAGTGCTTTTCTGGAAACATTTTTGGTGATAGAATATAGGAGTTATGGCATACCTTCTGGGAGAATTTTGAGTTTGTTTGCAGCAATTGGTAGATTTTATTTGTGTTTATTCTATAAACAAAGTTTGCTGTCATTCTTTTGGGGTGATAATTTTATAAAGGCAAATTAGGAAGTTGACAAAATTAAAAATTCTGTTAGGGGAAAAGGCACTCAGCAAAATGTCTCCCCTTGGATTTGATTCCTTTTGAAATTAATAAATTTTGTTTAGACTTTTTTTTGGGGGGTGTAAGAGGCAGTGGCAAAGATAGGTGAATAAACACTATGTTATATTAATTTATAAGCAGTCTTTTATAATTTTTAATGTAATTGTTGCAAAAATGTGTTAATTATATAGACTAAGCATTTAAGCATCGAAATGTTCAGAAACCATATAACTAAGAGTAGGCATTTCTTATTTCTGAGCCACTATAGTAGGGCGTATTTACTTTCATTTTAAAACTAAATTGTTTAAGCTGGGCGCGGTGGCCCACACTTGTAATTCCAACACTTTAAGAGGCTGGGGTAGTTGGATCACTTTAACCCAGGAGTTTGAGACCAGTCTGGGCAACATGGTGAAACCCCATCTCTACAAAAAAATACAAAAATTAGCTGGGTGTGGTGGTACATGCCTGTAGTCCTAGCTACTTCAGAGGCTGAGGGAGGAGGATTGATTGGGCCCAGGAGGCTGAGGCTTCAGTGAGCCATGATCACACTGCTGCACTTCAGCTGAGCAACAGAATGAAAAACTTGTTTAAAGAATTAGATACAAGTTCATCCCAGTATGAAGTGTAGATGATTGAAATCAACATGAATCTAATAATGCCTTTGTTTGGAAAAAATACTTTCTTTGTTATAAAGCCTTCTGTTTTTAAATATTATAAATTACTATTTTTCTTTTTAAGAACTTGGCAAGTGGCTTGAACCTCTGAAAAACCTTAGATTTGAAATTAACTGCATCCCAAACTTAATTGAATATGTTAAGCAGGTAAGTGTAAAACTTAAAAGTGCTTTGACTTTTTGAAACTGTGTGTTGGTATATGGTGATACTGCATTGAATCACTTGTGTAGATAATGTAGACATTGTAAAGTATCCTTGATTGATTTATTAGACTTTGGGTACAGATTGGTATATGCATGTAGATGGATATGTGATTATATGCAAATGTGAACACACACATGCACATAATCCTGTGTACTGTACTACTTTTTACTACTGGATTCTGCCCTGTTTTTCCCTCTGAAATGGAAATAGTATCACATACCATCTTGATGACATTCATAAGTATTTTAAATGCTGTATTTAATAAAACTGTTTCAGCTTAACTTTAATCTTTGAAAAAGAATTTGATTCAAAATATTTAGGTGAAAATTGATAGGGCCAATTTCAGATCATTGCAGTAGGGGCTAGTTCTCTTTGTTAATTTTGGATGGTTAAATCTGCAGTTGAAATAATTCATAACAGTTAAAATTCGTAAGACCCATAATGCAGTTTTAAAATTTTATATTCAGTTCAAGTAATTGATAATGGAAAAAATTACAGCATTGTTTGTTAGTCTTGGAAGTTGTTTTTTTTTCTCTGTTCCTTAATTGAGCCATTGTGTAGCATAGGAAGAAGAACTAAAAGTACTCATATATACATAAAAAGTTTCAAGTTAGAAGGGCAGAACGGATCTTGAATTATCTCTCTAATTTAGCAGGTGAAGTCTCTGTGTATGTGTGTGAGAGAGTTATGTAAGCCATCTTGGTTTTGGAATTGTAGTGTATATTATTAAAATAATTTATGTATATTGTTTAATCTGTTGCTGCTGTGACCCACAGCAAAGTGTTGTTTGGGTTTATCTGCTTCAGATTTTTCTTTACGGATTTCTCTGCCTTTGTCTTCTTTGACTCCAACTCTCTTAAGAGTACTTTTACTTCCTATGGTGCCATCATATTCTTCCATGTTCTTACTGTGAGCCTCAAATGACATCTAGAGCTTTTCATTGCATTTTCTTTTATTTAGGAGAAGTACAATTAATATCCTGTAAATTTAGATGGTCATGTATTCTGGTGTACTTGTGCATGGTTAAGTGAGTATTAACAGATGTTCAATAAATAGTGACGGTTTGAGTAAAACTATTTAATCAGTAAGAAATTTAATTCTAGAAATTTGAATTACATGCTGTATTTAAAAGAGCTGATTTTTGGCTGGGCATGGTGGCTCATGCCTGTAATCCCAGCACTTTGGGAAGGCTGAAGAGGGCAGATCCCCAGGCTAGGAATTCAAGATCGGCCTGACCAACATGGTGAAACCCCATCTGTACTAAAAATACAAAGATTAGCCAGTCGTGGTGGCGGGTGCCTGTAGTCCCAGCTGCTTAGGAGACTGAGGCAGGAGAATCACTTGAACCTGGGAGGTGGAGGTTGGAATGAACTGAGATCGTGCCACTGTACTCCAGCCTGGTCAACAGAGCAAGACTCCATCTCAAAAAAA